CTTATGCATATGAGGCAGGCACTCTACCAACTGAGCTATATCCCCAGCCCTATGCCCTTATTCTTTTTAATTTTTTTTTTTTTAGTTTTAGATGGACACAATATCTTTATTTATTTATTTTTTTAAAGCTTGATTCTTTTTGATATTTATTTTTTAGGTGTAGATGGACACAACACAATGCCTTTATTTTTATGTGGTGCTGAGAATCGAACCCATTGCCTCATACATACCAGGTGAGCACTCTACCACTGAGCCACAGCCCTGCCCTTATTACTAATATATATTATTTCTAGATGTTTATAAATAACCTGTAATTGTTAATCCATGAAATAATGAACATATCTATATTTGAAATTAATACAAATTTATCTAATTTTTTTCTTCAACAGAAAACACATAATTTATATATTTCTTATACATGCATTTATCTGATGCTCTGCCTTTTACTTACAGATATTTGAGATAGATTTCACTATATATTTGCTTTCAAGAGATAAACAACCATTGAGTGATCTCTAACTCTCAAATTATTGTACAAAGTTTATAAGATGATAAACAACTGTAATTCTGTCTACAGAAATCTCCAAGGGCTTTAACTATATTGTCATTGAGATATTTCTTCTTATCAAGGTACAATCATTTGTTTAGATTCTAAGGTTTCCAGAAATTGTTCCAAAGTACAACCAGGAAAAATCCTAAAAGGAAAAGAAGATGCTTCAACAGAGAAGAAGTGTACATTGGAGGTCCTTAGAATAAGAAAGAAATCATCTTTGAGTAAAACAAGATCTTTATATTCTAGATTTTAATGATAGAAAAATTTTCCTAATTAAGAAAATCTTTCTATCATTATCTAGACAGATATAGAAAGTTAAAACAATTACAAATGACATTTTTTTATGTACTGGACTGACGATAAAAATTGTAACTGATTAATTTAATTAAAATCACTATTTCCCTGATTTGACTATGCTGATGTGAGCTAAAATTTTTGTCCATATTTTGACATGAAAAAAAGACCTATTAAATTGTTTAAGTTTATTGGCACTTTTCCTAAGTGGATAAATTCTGCAAATGTCTTGCCCGTGCAACTTAAAGTGTCTAGAAATGTTGGGCCTAATTTAGACTGGTCTCCCAGAATTGATAAAGATGGTTATGCCAGGATGCCATGAAACCTGGAGGTTTATTGGTAATACCCTAACCCTCAGCAAGATGGCACCCAAAAAGATGTTTTGATCTTTGACTTCTGCCTTCTGGATATTTACACTCCTGACAGACCTAATAGACTCCTTAATGTGAGAAGTAAGAGATGATGAATATCTTGTAGGCTGTAAGAATACAGTGCATCTTTTTATATCACTAGTTATTGCCAATTGATATTTCAGAGCTATAATATGCTGAAGTTCATGTTCAGGCTTTGAAACAGGTGCATGCCCATTAACCAAACCTAGGCCAGCTCCTGATCTCAGGATCCTTGAAGTCACTACCTGAAATATGATTCCTTGCTTCTACAATACAGCCTTTGTGGCTAGGTTTTAAAACTTAAAACCTGCACTTTCTGATATTTGACTTACATTACTTCCAAGATCCTTTGTAGTCAGAGAAGGGCTGATGGAAGAAAAGATGGGAGCTCAGTTAAAATGCTCTAGAAGCTACTGTAATAAGTGTTATGAATGAGCCTGCGGCTCTAGGGTTTGTGGAAAGGCCTCAATGCCATGCYGGATAAATATGTCTGTGTTACTATGGCCAAATGCCATGTTTCCCACTAAAACTGGGAAAAAGATGAAGAATCTTCTGATGAGTGTTTGGCAGAGTAATAATGGTAATAATAACCTGGATCTTCCAAGTTGATTGTGCTATTGAAATGAGATGTTTTCTACTAATTCCTTTTGTGTTTCAATAGTAGATCATGGTGACCTCAGATCAAGAATCAGGGGACTGGGAAGATATAATTCCCCAGTTGCATTTTTTTTATATTAAGAAAGCGGGAATATGTCAGGAGCTGCCACATAGGAACCCAGCACCTCTGAGCCCTTGAGTGAGCAGAGTGTGTGGACATGTGGCCAGCCAGCCCTGGGCTGGTGCATGAACTAGGGGCACTGMGCGCACAGGGTGGACTGAACCCATGTGGCCCTTCTCTCTGGGGAGGGGACCTCCTTCTGGTCTTTTTGCTGGCTCTGCTGTGATCCCCACACAGCTCATGTGCCGCAGTCTGGCTGGGCACAATTCAGGAGCCACTTGTCAAAAGAAACTAACTTTATTTTTAGAACTACAAAC